AAAGCTAGACGCCGCGCGGCGCCGCTGAAGTGGCCTTGTTCTCCGCCTTTCTCTTTTTCTGTTTCCTGACGCCACCCTCCTCTCGTCAGCCTCCGGCCTGCCGTCACTTTGAGACCTAACACCGTGAGTAGCCCCTTACCGAGCTGGGAGGGGCGGTGGCGCCGCAGATTGGAGCTCTTGACCGCACCGCTGCGACTTTGGCCCTGCTCGAGGCCAGAGGCACTTGGGCCCCGCCGTCCGTCAGGCCCGGTGGAACCCGTTGTCGACCCCATTCTCCGGGAGGTGCGGGCGGGCGGGCCCCTTTTTCCCACCCCGCCCCTCGACTCGGCAAGGCCTCCTCTAGCCGCGCGTCTTCACGGCGCCCCGTGGGCACCCGGTCAGGCGGGCGGGAGAAGGTGCGAGCGAGCTGATCCCGGGATTGGGCCTTCTCTGCACTGGGCGACAGTCAGCCGTCGCGGAGCTCGTCTGAAGGCCCACGCTGCGGCTGGGGGCCTCCCTTGGCGTCAAGCCTGCCCGCCCCGGGAACCCGCGACGTGGATGGTGGTGGGGCTTTTAATAGAGTTCCCTGGGGCGGCGTGAGCGTGGGCATGTGTCCATGTTTGTTGTTTTGGTGTCCGGAAGGAGCGTGGCAGTGATAATCCGGGAGCGCTGGACTCTTGGCGTCCATCCTTTGTCGCCCTTGTATCTGGCGTCACTAGTCCCCATGCCTGCTTAACTGTGCTGGGGCCAAATCTTGCAGAGAGCCGTCTGCTTCTTCGGAATATTTGTTTCCTTTCCTTTTTTTTTTTTTTTTTTTTTTTTTGCCGTAGCCTGCGATTGCTGAAACAACTGTTGTAATAGCAGATGCCATCGCCATAGTGGTGTGAGTTTCGGGGACACTAAAACTTAACTCGAGGTGCCTGGTTTTGAAGGGGTAGGACGTTCACCTGTTTTGGTTCACTTTTTAATGGAGACTTAAGACTTGGGTTTTGGGTTATTAATTTTTTCATCAGAGCGTCACAGTAGAATGTTTCTGTGTAATGGAGCAGTGTAGACTTAACTCTGCCCTCTAAAAAGAGGTGTCAATTTCTGGTTACTTTAAACAGGTTTTTTAAATTATGATGATAGAACCCACCTCATGCCAGCCGTGGAGGGTGATTTAATTTCCAAGTACAGGAGTTTAAGGAATTGAAGGAATGGTCTTGAAAGCATGTCAAATCAAAATACCATCCATTAATATCTGAAAACTTTGCACTGAATCCCATCTATTTAACACTAAAAAAAATTAGAATATCAAGTTTAGCACTACAAAGTGCATCGAATTACAGATTAACTGATTGCTTCCCTGCTATTTATTTAGTAAGATCTCAACCCCCATAAGAGTAACTTAATACACAAATTTGACTATGACTAAGCAGATCTTGCTGTTTATCAACTTAGTTGAAATACGAAATGTTTGTCTTGCTTGAAAGTAATTTTATCACCTGCATTGCCAGACTTGTGATTCTGTAATGTTTATTCCAGTACTGTGGACCATAAAAAGAACATAGAATGTTTTATGGTTAATAATTGGGCTCACATTAAAATACTTCTTTGGGAGTATACCTTATGTTATAGCCTTGTCACAGGGAAGGTCCTCTGCTCTTTGTCCTGCATTATTGGCAAGCACTGAGCAACATGGAGAAGTAGACATTGATGAATTGAAAAGTGAAATTCTCTCCAACCATGGATGAGTAAAAGCTGGATATTTCAGTGGCTGGTTTTAAAACAGTTACCTTTTTGCTTCCTTGCCCTATCAGCTTGTCTGTTTTGAAGGTTGAAGACAGTTGTCTGGGAAGAACTGAATGACTAATTTAACTGATTTAATGGGTCTTAAGTCTTGGAACCTAGAATAGGCGCAGTCAATGTTTCAAATGCCAGATTCTACACATTTAGGTTATAGTGACATCACAGGATTATGAACATCTCAGAAACATGGGTGTTTAAAATCTATACTTGAAATGTAAAGAGGTCTTGAATTTTTAGTCAGGTATTGCTGCCCTTCTCCCTTGTGCCTTTTCCCCCAAGAACCTGAAGGTGGTAAAAAAAAATTGCTGGCTTAAAACTTTAATTTTAAAGAGGTTTTTTTGTTGTTGTTGTTTTTGTTTTGTTTTGTTTTTTTTCCAGAATTCCAGTCCTTTGAAGTTAATTGCTTAATTAACTTTTATGTAAGCGATGTCTTTTTCCTAATGACTCATAATTAATCTGAGTTAATAAATACATTTTTGGAGTAAGTAATAGGTTTTTACTATTAAGTTTTGGGCAGATGACCTCAGACTTGGACACCTGGACAGTCAGTAATGAAAGATAAAAAGGACTGAAATTTGTTACTTGGTTTAGGGAGTTAGATCAACATCTGCTTATCCTTAAGTATTTTATTCTCTTGTATATGATTTTGCATTGATCCAAACATAAATATATCTTGATCTTCTCTTTGGATCTGAGTTCATTTTTCATTGGGAAGTCTCATTATGGGAAAATTACTGTCTTATTTAGTAGCTTTGTTTATTTTGGTCTGACCTCCCTCAGGTTTGGAGGTGAGGTTAATTGTGGCAGTTAACTATTCAAATAGGAGTAGTCAGTATTCATGAGAGCAGAAAGGCAGGCAAAGAATAAATAAGTCTATTTTAGATAAATTTGACATCAAAAATATAAAGTATTAACTCTAAAATTATATCAGTAATGAGTTCAGTGGGGCAGGGCTTAAAAGCTTCTGGTCTTAGGAGTTATACTTTGAAAAAAATTTTATAGAAACGCTTGTATGGTGACCTGTGAATAATCACTTGGAATGTTTTCTAGGGTTATACACTGCAGGTCCTTTATAGTTAATAAGTTAGAGGGCTTCTAACAGCATGTAGTTGATGAAATGTCATCTAGAAGTAATGTCTCTTAAATTTAAAATTCAGTGTGATACCTTTTTTTTTTTAAAGATGCCTTCAATTAAGTTGCAGAGTTCTGATGGAGAGATATTCGAAGTTGATGTTGAAATTGCCAAACAATCTGTGACTATCAAGACCATGTTGGAAGGTAAGTTTATTAGAAAACCTTGGTCAGGGGATAGGGAAGGAACTGTGTAGCTTGAGATAATCTGTGAACATTGAGTCTGTACAAGTAATAATCTGTCATAAAATGCTCAAGAGTATAAAGGGATATAGTTTACATTTCTCTTCTTTAAAATAGTAAGTGCATTTTTCTGGTACAGGTGACTTTTTTTCCCCTACATTGTCTGAATTAATGAGTTTTTTCCCCTTATTAAATAGGTAATACCATAAGCTAATACTGAAATGGTTTCCAAGCCTTACACAATGGCCTGTTTCTCTTTCATGTAGATTTGGGTTCACAATTTCTAATGACAAAAACTAGAGCCTTTGGAAAAGAGATAGCTTATATATGGTAGCTAAATAGAGCACCTTGTTTCAACAGAGAGAGTAAGCTGAGTAGATTGTAAACTGAGGAGATGTCTTTTTCTTTTTTTTTATACCGAGTTTTCTCTCATCTGTTCTGTCATTCCTTTAAAACTGCTACAAAGCATATATGCAGTACATCAAAGAAGGCAAGAAAACGGCTTTTGAAACTTATTAGTTAATGTGGATCTCTTAATATTGTCAGTGGGCTGCTAGACATTAATAGTATATGGAGTTTCTAAAATTGGTGGAAAAAACCTTGGTAGTAATAAGAATGTTCTTCAGTACAGTCACCTCCCTGTATCTGTAGGGGATTGGTTCCATGGCCCCCTGTGGATACCAAAATCTGGATACTCAAATCCCTTATATAAAATGGTATAGTATTTGAATATAACCTACATATATCTTTCCTTATACTTTAAATTGTCTCTAGATTACTTATACCTGATAACACCATAAGTGCTCTGTAAATAGTTGCCTGTGTGTGGCAAATTCAAGTTTTGCTTTTTGAAACTTTCTGGAATGTTTTAATTTTATTTTTTAAGTACATTGTATCTGTGGCTGTTTGAATCCATGGGTGTGGAACCTGTGGATATGGAGGGCTGACTGTACTCAAATATCAAAAGTTTTTGTTTCTCTATATATTATAGATATTTCAGTAAAGGGTTATGTGCTGGTGAAAAGAAAGTAAGTGAGAAATGGGTTTTGCCCTTGAAGGATGCATAAACCAGGAAGGGAGGCAGACATTAAACAAGGCAAACTGTCACATGATATAATTAGTGTATTAATAAAGTTGTGTGTGAAATAGTGCTGTGGAAACATCTTGGCTGATGTTATTCTTTAGGTTTGTGGAGAGAATGTAGTGTATCAAACTAGTGAGGTGATATTTCAAATCTAGTAAAGTAGACAGGATTTTTTTTTTAAGGTAAAATAGGTTTTTAGTTGGGGTTGTGATTGTGATACTGTACTTGGTAGAGCTGAAGAACAGATTTGGGAGAAATGGAAAGAAAATGACTTTGGTCTTGGACATGTTATATATTTATGAGATGCCTTTAAAAGATCTTTGTAATAAGCTACTAGTCAGTTGAGTATGTGGATCTTGGTCCCTGAATTGTAGACTGCTGGAGATAGACTTTATTTGTATGGTGGGTTATGGGAGTAAGTGAGGTTGGCAAGTGGCTACATTGGGGTAGGGTGGGGTGTTAAGAGTAGAAGTCAGAGGTGGAGAATCAGTAAGGTGGGGTTTGTGAAAGCTAAGGGAGGCATTTTGAAGTGACCAGAGTGATTATCAGAATTGTATACTGCAGACTGGTCACTTAGGATTTCAGAGATAGTAAGTTAGAGGACTTCTAACAGCAGATGATAGGTGTGGTAGAGGCAGAAGCTCAATTGCAGTGGGTTTGTCTTCTGTTTTCTAATAGAAAATAAAAGCTCAATGTTAAGTTTTTTTTTGTAATTGACAGCAGTCATGTGGCACTTACAATCCTGTACCCTCGTAACTTACATACATAGATTACTGCTATTAAGTTGTAAACCCCTTGGTACATCCCACAGTCACTGTTCATCAAGTACCTGTTGAATGAAGAACTATGGTATGGTCACTAATAAAAATGTGAAAGCAATCCAGGGGTCCCTAAAGGCAGGTGAGTAAGGCTTTATCTAGAAGATGTAGAAACTGATACCAAAACTGCTGCCTGAATACTTGCTTTGGCAATGAAAGTGTTATTTATTTCATCTTAGTTGGTGCCTGGCACACTAATCTGTCCTGTGCTGCTTCAAAGAAGCATTTGCCAATGTAAGAACATAGGGCTTCTTGAAGGTTTTCCACACCAACTTTGATCACTGAATCACTGATAGACAGCAACAGTTAAATGACTCTTTGCTTATACAGCGTTTGGGCACCAGGGGTGACTGGCTTTATCTTAAGTACCACTGGTTTATATAGAGTTCTAGCCTTTGAGGATTGGAGTTTATTGAAACCTAATCACAGGATAATCAGAAATGAAAATCTTGACATATGTGTTCATAAGGATTGACTGATTTGTCCAGGTTCAGGGTATGGTATCAGGATACAGGTGTTTTTGGAAAGTCCTTGAAACTAAATGGCTTGAAGGAATGACTGTTGAAACTTGTGCATTCAGTCTAAAAGCAAAAAACATTGCAAATCCTTAGTTTAAGTGCTAGAGATGTGATCCTTTACAACCATAAGGCACTTATTTTTAATGTGACTTAAGCCTTCTTCCTAGTAACATTTAGATCTAAATTAGCTGGTCTTCTGTATTATATTTCTTCTAATATGTTCATTTCCCAAACACAAATTTTTACATAATGAAACTCTCTCCCCTCTGATTAAAAATATTTCATACTAGATCAGATAAAGCATAAGTGACTTGATCCAGATGAATTACTGTCATTTTATAGTTTTACTCTAGGCTGATCAGGAAAAGGCATTGGTGGGAGGAAGGGAAGGGTAGATGAGTGAATCCACCACTACAGGAAAATAAGATACTTTTTGAATCTACTCTCATCTTTACCACTCCGCTGGAACTAGTTGTTAAATTGATCTCCGTGTGTCAAGTGGATCATTTGTTTTATTTCCCATCTAGACTTATTGTCTTTGACAGTTGATCAGTCCCTTCACATTTGGCTTCCAGGATACTTGTTACTTACCTAACACACAGCCTTCTCTCTTCCCGTCTTTAAAGCCTTCATTTCCCTGAGCTTTGCTTACTCTTTACTATATGCTCCTTCATTCCCTTGGTCACCTCATGTAGTCTCATAGTGTTATAAATCATATAGACATCAGTTCTCAGACTTACCTACAATTGTCTTCTTTTCATTTTTAGACTTGCATTTTTTTAACTGCTTTGTCTACCATTGGATATTTAATAGATATCTCAAACTGAAGAAACTTAGACTTGTTAATTCTCTGCCCTCCAAAATGAGATCTCTGACAACCTTCTCCATATTAATGGCAACTCCAGGGGCAGCTCCATCCATCTAGTTCCTCGTGTCATAAACCTTGGCCTTCCCTGACTCCTCTCACATTCTCCTTTCTTTCTGTTGGCAAATCCTATTGCCTTTACTTTCAAAATTCATACAAAATACATACTGTTTCTTTTTCCATAGCTATCAGCCGTTTACAAGCCACTTGTACTTGCCTGAATACTTGCTAGTGCCATAATTGTTTTCCCTCTTTTCCTGCTGCTTTAATACAGTAGCCAAATTGCACAAGGTCCTATTAGGCCTCCTTTTATTGATTTCATCTCCTCCTTTCACCCTGGCTAACTCTGCTCTTGTAACAGTAGATTCCTTAGTGTCTTTAGAACTTTCCAGACACTCCCATTAGAAGGCCTTTGCCTTTGCCTTTGCCATTTCCTCTGCTTAGGTGTTTTCTCCTTTAGTTGTCATTTTCTCTGTAAAGCACCCTGTATCTAAAATTGTGACAGTTCCTCCCATCCTCCTGTGTTCATTGCTGATTCTTCACCACCTAGAACAGCACCTGATATTTATTAGGGGCTCAAATGTTTGACTCAGTACTGACTATGTCAGTGTAACTGATACTCTGCTACAACCAATATAGTACTATAGTAACTTTTGACCTCTAACCTTGTTTAAGTAGTATACGGGTTTTAAGTTTTTTCCTTTGGAGCTCACCAGCCACTTTGATAATCTAAAAGTTAGGCCTTTTTGCCGGAGAAGCTTAATAGGTTCAAGATTATAGGTAATACGTACATGACAAATAACACTAAAGGGTGTAAGTCCCTCAACCCATGTTCTTATTAACTTTCATAGGCATAATATTGTTAACGGTTCCTTATATATCCTTTTGGAGGTATTTTAAATAAAAATATATAAGTATGTTCCCATTTTTAGTCAGATAACATTTATCTTTTTATATCTGGCTTTTAAAAACTTTTAATCCTGAAATCATACCAGTATGTATGGAGCTGCCTGCCTTGTTTTTGTCAGTGGCTGCATGATCTGTTGTGTGTGTATATGTACATCTTTGGGCTTCAGATTTTAATAGATTGAGATGCTGTTACTTTTGCAATACTTTACATTGTTTTATTTTTCTAAGTGGGGTCCATCTAGAGAGTTTGGTATAAAGAGTAAGGATAAGGTTCTGGCTTTAATTTTTTCCCAGATGACTGCTCAGTTATTAAATCACTTTTCCTCCTAATTAAGAACTCTCTTCATACAATATTTCTGTATTTGTGTACTCACACAACTTTATATAGTTTTGGGTAGTTCATGGAGCTGTTGTTAGGAACCACCAATTTTAAATGCTTTTTAAGACAACTTATCTTAATAAAGCACTTTTTATAGTCTTTCAGACAACATGTCTTGCAAGTTACTTGTCTGAAACATAGCCAATGTTACAATGGCTTTAGGAAATGATGGCAACTGTCTTCTGGTTTTCTTAGATTTGGGAATGGATGATGAAGGAGATGATGATCCAGTTCCTCTACCTAATGTTAATGCAGCAATATTAAAAAAGGTAAGGTAGCAAACTACATGTATACATATGCATTCCTTTCTTCATTTAGCAATATCCTGGTGATCTTTCTATATTGATACGTAGATAGCTTCCTATAAAAAAAACTACATAGTACAATTACGACTGTAGATATTTGTTGTGGTTTATTTAACCTGGCCACGTGAATATTTAAATATTTAAATTGTCTAGTCTTTTTCATTAACACATTTAAATTATTGTTTATTGTATTACAGTATGTGCTTAGCAAAAAGGAGAAATTTTTGAATTGTTTGTCCACTGAATGGGTATGCCTCAGAAGGAGTTTGAGAACAAGAAATATGTTTTGTTTGTTTGTTTTTTCAGTTGATCACCTTACCCTGTTTCTAAGCATAAACAGCTCTCTACATTCAGTTGGATTTTAGTGTTTCAGAGGATATGACTCCTTAACAGAGCCACCTGTTTAATTGAATGCTTATCTGCAGAAAGAGCAACCAGTTTCCACACTTGAGGGGGAAAGCTGACTAGGCTTAGAGGTAGAAGTAGTCAGTAACAGTTGGCTCATTGCTGAGGGATTTTCAGAAGTCATTAACCATACACAATTTCATCTTATGCATTCTCTTGACCCTAACATGAGATGCAGCTGCACTGCATATTTTTCCATATTCTTACCACAATTGGCTATTACCCATCTTTTTAATATCCTTAGACTGGGTGTGAAGTGATTCTCTAAGCCTGAATGTTTTTTATATTTGTGATTGGCCATTTATGTTTTCTTTATTGTCCGTCTTCCTTTGCCCATCTTTCAAACAGACTTTAAAAAAAAAGGTAGTGAAATACACATAACATAAAATTTATCATATTAACTTTTTTATTTTAATTTTTTTAAGTGTACAATTCAGTGGCATTAAGTACATTTACATGGTTGTGTAAATCATCACCACTAACAATCTAGAGAACCTTTTCATCATCCCAAACTCAAACTACCAACTAAATAAGAATTCCCCAGTAGCCCCTCCTCTAGCCCCTTGTAACCACTATTCTGTTTTTTTATCTTTATGAATTTTGACTATACTGGGTACTTTATAAAATGGAATTGTAGAATATTTATCCTTTTGTGTCTGGCTTATTCTACTTGGCATGTTTTAGAGGTTCATTTGTTTTGTAGTCTAGGCTTTTTATAGGAGTTCTTCATATGGAGGTTCTACTAGTTTGCTTGTCATATGTCAATTTATAGTATTTTATGGTTTAGAAGCTTTGTATTTTATTTAGTTAGTTATCCTTTCTGACTTCTGAGCATTGTCTTGCAAATCAACATTCAACATTATGCTAATATAAAATGTTTCTGAAAGGACTTTTGCTTGCATTCATTCAGATGCCAGGCATGTTTTAGGTACTGGAGGTATAGCAGTGCACTAAAGAGACAAAATCTCTGTCCTTGAGTTTAAATTGTAAAGATGAGGGGGCAAATGCACAACATAAAAAATATGTCAGCTGGAAAAGCTGTGGAATATAAGAGGATTGGTAGGTGGAGAGTTGGCTATTTTTAAAATAAAGATGTTCAGGAAATGCCTTACTGTGAGAAGTTGATCTTTGAACAAAGACATGAATATGTGGGGGAAGTAAATTTCTGGGCAGTGGAAACAAGTGCAGTGACCCTAAGATAAGAGTATACCCCGTCTTTTGAGGAAAGGCCAGGAAGCTAGTGTGGTGGCTTGAACATAATGAACAGGCAAGGAAGTAATAGAAAAGGTCAGAGTTAATGGGCTGGGTGATAAACCGCTGCTTAGAATAATTTTTTTCCAACCTATTTGCATTATTAATTACAATTATTTAAACTTAAGTATATTTACTAATAATATAATCCAAAAACTAAAATATGCAATAAAATTTCCCTTCCTTGTCTCTCATCTGACCAGAAACCCCATCAACATTAATTTCTTACCTATCTTTTTAAGAGTTCTTTAATGCCAATATGTTACTAATTACTTTCTTAAATTACTGGAACTTCTTAAAAAGCTGTTAATTTAATTAAAGCCCTTTATGCTTGGCTTATCTTTCTAGAAATAGTTCTTTCCTTTTTTTTTGTATCCTGGTAGTAAATTTCTCAGCTCTCTCATTTTCTCTTAACATTATTCATTCCCCTAACATTATAATATGAAAAGGTTTAATTATACAGAGAAGTTAAATTATACAGCAAACACCCATTTTCCTACCACCTAGGTTCTCCAACTGAACAGTTTCCATGTACATTGTCTTTATGATGGTACACAGTCTAGCTAATCAACTTCCAGAAAGTTTTAACTATAATATGCTCATTCCCCTACTAAGAGAACATTGGGCTTTTCCTGCTTTGTTCTTAAAGCAAATAGTACATGTCAAGGGTGTTTAGAAGTGCTTGGTAATAACGTATGCACATACTCAGCTTCACTAGGTATTCCTAGATTACTTTTCAAAAGGATTATACCAATTTACACTCTACAGGAGAAGAGTTCATGTTGCCCTCACACTATTGCCAATGCTTAGTATCAACATTTCAATTTTTATTTATTTTGGGGTGGGGGGTGCAGTCTAAAGTAGTATCCGACTTCATTTATGTTTTTTGCATAGGTGCTTTTAATATGGTCAAGTATAGTAATCTGCATGGTTCACTATTACTAAGATCTTCTACCCTCTAGGGTTGTGCTTTTCAGGCTTGGCTACTAACTATTATTCAAATTGACTTATAGCTAGTTCTTAGCCCAGTGTAGGAAAAACCTTGCCCCCACAGTAGAATGAGTACCTTGTGAGAAAATGCCACAGAGGAATGAACTTTTGTTGTTGTAGGTTATTCAGTGGTGCACCCACCACAAGGATGATCCTCCTCCTCCTGAGGATGATGAGAACAAAGAAAAGCGAACAGATGATATCCCTGTTTGGGACCAAGAATTCCTGAAAGTTGACCAAGGAACGCTTTTTGAACTTATTCTGGTATGTTTTTAAATGCATATTATTTGATACTTCTAGTCCAGAGCCTTTATCACTTTTTCAGTAGAGTTAAATTTGTTAAATTCATTGATACTGAATATTAATGCTCTCTAAAGTCAATTGCAGTGCTATATTTAAATCTGTATATCAGTAACCACAATAAAAGTAAATGGTCTAAATACCACAATTAGAGGTTAGAGATTATCATGTTGGATAAAAAAGCAAGACTTAGCTATTCAGTCTGCAAAAAACTCACTTTAAATATTAAGACAATTAGGTTTAAAGGGTGGAAAAAGATAATAATCAAAAGAAAACTGTAATGACTACATTAAAGTAGATTTCAAAACAGAATATTACCAGGACTAAGGAGGGTCATTGTGTAATGATAAAGGGTTCAGTTTGTTATTAACAGAGTACGTAAGAATCCTAAATGTCAATCTGCCTAAAAGCAGAACTTTGAAAAAGTGAAGCAAAAGCCAATAGAACTCTGAAGGATAAATAGGTAGATCTACAATCATAGTTAGAGATTTTAGCACCTGTTTCTAAATAATTGGTAAAACAAGTAGACAGAATCAGTAAGAATGTAGAAGACTTGAATAACAACCAGCTTGTCCTAACAGACATTTTAAGAACGTTGTATCTAATGAAGCAGGATACATATTATTTTCAAGTGTATACTCCCAAGATAGACATGTTCTGGGCCATAAAGCAAGTCTCAAATTTGAAAGGATTCATGTCACACAAAATATGTTTGTTTTCTGATCACAATGGAATTAAATTAGAAATCCGGAACAGAAAGCTGTCTGGAAAATCTGCAAATATTTGAAAACTAAATAACACATTTCTCAGTAATCCATGAGTCGAAGAAATTGAAATAAAAGTTAGTATTTTAAACTGAACGGAATTGAAGCATGACATGAAAATCTGTGAGATGCAGCTAAAGTAGCATTTAGAGGGAAATCGATAGCACTAAACACCTATATTGGAAAAGAAGAAAAATCTCAAATTAGTGATCTAAGCTTTTACCTTAAGAAACTAAGGAAAGATGAAATTAAATGCAAAGAAAGGGAGTAAATATTTTTGTCAGGATTTGACTTGTGCTTTTGTGTGTGCATACGCACACAAAACTGTCAGTAGTGGCCATTCTTTAACATTTGAAGTAGTGTGATTTGTTTAAGGCAACACAAGGACTCAGGATTATAGAAGTATAACAAAGAAAGGGACATAGAAAAATCTTGCACAGAAGAGTTTGTCTTGTTATTTATTCTCTAATTTCTTAAAATTAACATTTTAAACTTAAGTAGGTATGGATTGTTATTTACTAACTTTGGGTTTAATTTAAAACATCAAGTATACTTTAATGAAAATAACAATTACTTTACAGGCTGCAAACTACTTAGACATCAAAGGTTTGCTTGATGTTACATGCAAGACTGTTGCTAATATGATCAAGGGGAAAACTCCTGAGGAGATACGCAAGACCTTCAATATCAAAAATGATTTTACTGAAGAAGAGGAAGCCCAGGTAGGTGCTCACAGCTTGTTCTTGATCAAATGCTTTTTAAGAGAGACTAAATAATAACATGCTAGGAAAAGAGGTATCTATATCAAGGAATCATGACATTACTTGAGGGATAATAGGTACCTTCTGTGAGCTAAAAATATTCTACTTTGTCTCTTAGTCTAAACGCTTAGATGATATTGCTCTTTTATAAACATAAGAACGATTAGTTTTCAGCCAGAGATGCTGTTTGATATTTATTCCTTAGCAGTTACTAGTTGTGGCACCTGGACCTTACATGTAAGCCATAAATATTTGACTTCACAAATGCAGGCCCTGTGCATGACTGTAGATCAGGATACTTCAGAGCAGCTTAGTGAATGGGGGAGAAATGAATGACTAGACGAGAATGATTTTGTTGATGCAGGTCAATTCTGGTGACCAAAGCTGTAATTGCTCGTTGCCTTTGACTTTTTTGATAATGTCAGCAGGGCACAATAAAACCTGGGGAAGCAAAGAATGGTGACCTGGAAGTGTATTCCTAATCTGATTTTTCTGGTTTCCATCTGTCTGTTTCTGATCCACTTCGCAGGCTATTGATGAATCATCAGGTGGTAGTGTTAGGAAAGACTATTTAATTTAAGGCACTTCCTTATATCTGTCTCTTCTAGGTACGCAAAGAGAACCAGTGGTGTGAGGAGAAGTGAAATTTTGTGCCTGATGCTGTAACACTGTAAGGATTGTTCCAAATACTAGTTGCACTGCTCTGTTTATAATTGTTAATATTAGAAAAACAGTAGACAAATGCAGCAGCAAATCAATTGTTTCAGTAGAATATTGTCCTCATTGCATGTGTAGTTTGAGTACAGATTCCAAATCTATGGCTGAATTTCTTCTAGTATGATCAAAATTGTTTTTTCTTTGCTCTGAATAAAATTGAACTGTGGGTTCTCTATAGAAAGTGGCATTTTGGGCTTTCCCTCTTTTTGTAAAGCGATTTCTGGCTAGTTTATTGTCCAGTTAACTTTAGTGACTTTTAAAAGTTGGCATTGTAAATAAAACAACTTGCAAAAAGTTTTCTGAAATAGAATTAACAACTTATTACCATTATTCATATGTTGGAAACTGGAAAAATGCTACTTGAGGTAAATGTTCTGAGTGGGGTTATTAGGATGTCTTCCAGCTTCCTGGAGTCAAGAAGTACCACTAATACTGATTAGCCTGTATGTAGCAAGGCTTCCTTAATTGGATCTGAGGACTCGTTTTTGCATTTTTAATCCTCTCAGCTTTGAATATGTTGGCTAGAGACTCAGTTACTACTCAGTTTGTGATTTAGGGGAAATATAACTAGACAGTTTGTTAGCGTTTCAATTAAGAAAGACACTTAACCTATGTGGTGTGTCATCTTTTTATAATCAGTGATCCTACGTGGGGAAAACTGTTCACACTACTTGCATGTAAAAAGTAATTTAACTTTTAACATTAAAATGTGTGGCAAAATGCAGAAAGCATCCGTCATGAATGCAAGATACTTTCAATAAAAAGTAAGTTACATAGTAGGTAGTAAATGGTTTGTTTTTGTGTACTTAACTGTGTCTCTTTACTTAAAAGAGTTAAATTTATATATGGTTGGTTAGCTGGAAAAGTCTTGCAGGCAATTCACAGCCTAGCTCACTAGAGGCTGCTGACTTAATAATAAGGTTCTGAGAGACTCTGTCTCTTCTAATTGTCATTGATAATGGTTCGCTGGAACCACTGTTTCATTTCATAACTGGTGTACTCAGGCACACCAAACTGCACTGCTGTGGTTTCTGTCTCGCCCCTACAGTAGAATGAAGTTTTCTTGATGGCTTGAGATAGCTCACGAAATGTTAATTTTTTTTTTCTTTCCTCCTTGGGCTCCTCTTTTTCTTCCTTTCCCAGTTAGAATCACCTGTATTCACATGTAGTCTTAATGTGCTGTCTTCATGTTTATTGTGCGTTGTTCTTGCTTAGATTATTACTTGACAGTTAGTTTGCTTTCATTTCACCCATTGTCCCAAATCTACCTTTTTAATAAAATCCCATATGCTGTCTCACATGAATCACCATTTGTTTGAACCAGAGAAAGCATACTATACCCTGTGTATGGGTAAAATCCAGCCCACAACCTGTTTTTGCAGTCTGTGAGTTAAAAATGGTTTTTACATTTTTAAAGGATTGTTAAAAAAATATACACACAGAGACTGATTACACCAAAAAGCCTAAAGTATTTACTCTCTGGCCCTTTACAGAAAAGGATTTCCAACCCCTTAGGCTACTTTTGGGTCCCTGATTCCCTTTACTCAAGAAGTAAGCTTGCTTTTCCACTTGTCCTGGTTTTAGTGGGGAAGGTAGCAGAGTTCAGTTCTAGCTAGGGTCTCTCATTTCTGCTATTTCTTGCTATACTAGTCAACTCTTGGAAAGAGCTTAACTACCCTAACTAAGTGTATCCCTAGCAATATAACAAACAAATCTTTACTGAAAGTCCAGGATTACTAGCATGTGCTCTATTTAATTTAAAATGAAAGTATCAGCTTCAGGGAAGCAGGAGCCTATTACTGTTAACTCTCAATCCTATGACACCCAAGAATTGTTAGAATTATAGGACTAACTAACATATTTAAAGGATACTGGAGTCTTTCTGAATATGTAGTATTGAATGGACAGACAATATAGTAGTTTAAATTTTGTTCCTTTCCTGACTTTCTGTAGACTTTGGCCCTAGACTTTACCTTTTTTTTTTTTAATTTTTTACAAGTTTTTATCCCTAGTAGCCAAACCTGTCTTTAGAGATACACTCACTCCTGTCTAGCCTCTTACTTCCCAGTTATTCTAAGCTCATACTGTAGCATGAAGCCATATTGTGAGGCTGGAATCCTGCCTCTGCCTCTTAGTGCTTATCTAGTCTTGGGTAAGTTGGAAGTAGTAGCCATCTGTCATGTGGTGCTGTTGGTGATGAAGACTCCTCTGTGACAGTCCTTTGGCTTCTCAGCTTTTCATTGATTTTCTGGGTCACTTGATATCAAAAGTAAACCAAACCCTTTCCGAATGTTACCTTGTTACTTTCTCCTTCATGTTGTCATGGTCTAAGGATATGTCCCCTCAGACAAATTCTAATAATTCTTACATTGTAGAAGCAAGTTACCTCTTTTGAAGTGCTGTTACATTTTATTAGCTCCCCTTCATAAATCTGCCTTTAAAATACAAAGTAGGTATTGCATTTTCCCAAAGATTTTCAGAGGCATTCCTTTAAGTTACGGATCCCTTAGTGGCATTATAGCTGTGATTTGTTTATTCTACAACTGCTTGAACACACCTGCTGGAATTAATTGAGCAAGATCTGTATGTAACTAGGACTGCAGCCCTGTAACATAATGTCATGGTAATGCTAGCAATAGAAGGAGAGTAGCAGTGAGTCATGATGGATACATGAATCAGGGCAGGCAGATACTCCAAATCACATGATCTTTCAGTTTACTTAAAAATTGGCCAATCCTGTAATCTGTTTTCTGATCCAAGATAAATTAAGAAATTAGACAGGTTGCCTAGGCTCTTAATAGGGCAGTTTGAACAGGGAAAGGAAGTGGCTTCCACAAGGTGAGAGAGAAAACTGAGAAAGCAGCAGACCTCTTAATCTGAACGCCCTTTACCTTATACATGTTCCGTCAGAATCTCAGCTTTCAAGACTTACTTAACTTTTGCTTATCACCAGTTCCATTTGAAGACCTTTGTGATTTTTCTTTTTCTAAAGCTCAGTGTACATCTTAACCAAGTGGGAAGGTATTGTTCTCCCTACAAGTTGTTTGTGCTTTAAAAAGATGATAATCTTCAACTACCTGGATTTGTATGAAAACTAGAAGAGAATAAGGGAGAAGATTGGAAGTAAAGGGTAAGCACATGAAATGGTTGAATCCCTAAAGTATAGCTCCTGGCTTCTTTGTGGGAAGTATAAGATATAGTTGCCCTCTTATGAGCTTTTGGCATAACTAAGGAGGCAAAGCATAAATAAATGAATAACTTCAATAAATGTTCTGGGACAGAACAAGATAAATGAGCAAATGAGGGCTACAAGGCTGAGAAACTAACTTGATTTCAAAAGTCAAGTTGGATTTGGTTGGGGTAGAGGGATGCCAGGGTAAACGAGAAAGCAGTGTTCAGGCTGGAACTAGCAGCAGAGGTTGGGTGTCGTCTGTCTAGAGGATGTAGTCTGTCAAGAGAATTTAGGGCTTGATTGGTGAAAGAATTTTGGTAACGCTCTAGGAAGAGTATTCATTAGACTCATGTCAGGCAGTACAGTTCTTGAATCGTTTGTGTTGTTGTTGTTGTTGTTGTTATTATTATTAAAACGGAGGTATCGGGGATTGAACCCAGGACCTCGTGCATGCTAAGCACACTACTACTGAGCTATACCCTCCCCCCTTGAATCTTTGAACTAAAACATTTTTTTAATAGTACTGGACAAAAGTATTCTGAATATTGGGGGTTTTACACTTAGAATCTTGATGCCTTTTTCTTATTTACTGTTGGTAAAAATCACTACCTCCAAAGAGGCAGGGAGAGTAAGAATTGGATGTGTATATTAAGATGAAGAATGATGTTAAGACGTTTAGAACATGTCCCTTGGCCAAGGATTGAGCCATTTGGATACCTAAGCAAGGTAGACTGAATGCAATCCTTCCTATTGAGCTGTCAGTGGATCTGAGCATCGTTGGTGGCATAAAGGTGTTGGTGAAAGGACTTTGTTTGAAGGGTTTCCAGTGTGGGACTTACGTTTGAGCGATAATTGAGCGATAATTGTTAATTCATGGATAAAATACTTGCTGCCTTGCAGTATTTTGCACTGTTAGCTAATCTGGCGTGTGTGCCAATACTGAGAGTGAGAGGCATTTTGTGGGAGGGATATAGTTGCTCACAACAATATCTGCTTCTGTCTCTAGTTCTCATGACCTTCTGAGACTGCTCAACTTGAAATTTTCAGGAAGTATTTACTGAGCATTTTAACCTGCTTTGTGCCAGTGTCTTCTTTCACTCTAAGGACCAGCCTATTCCATAAATGTGCTCTCACCTTCAGTACTTCCCGTCTGTTTATGGTGCAAATTAATATTTGTCCTTTGTGTGCCAGTGTGCCATTTCACGACCTCTAACTTACCTTCAAATGCTTTGCAGATATTTTTGCCCCAGGGGGCTTACAGGAGGGGTAGGAATACAAGAAAACTCAGAAAACTATATTCAAGAGTTTCCAGAGTGGCTGTGTGTGTGTGTGTGTGTGTGTGTGTGTGTGTGAGAGAGAGAGAGAGACTAGAACCTAATTCCTGCTCCTCCGTAGTACCCCCCACCCCACTGCCCCTACCCATGACTGCACATGCCTGCAGGAACAAGACTTCAGATAAAGGAATGTGAGAACACCTGAAAAGGGAAGACCTGGTCCAGAGACCCTGGTGAACTTAAATGTGAACCTAAACTAGTAAGTATCTCCCTTATAATGCATAGCTGCTGAAATAACCCTTACCTTGTGTTGCTAGTGACCTAACTCATGAAGACTGCTAGGGACTGGGTAGTCCATACCCCTAGGACAGAATTTGCCCTTTCCAGTTAACTCTTTGTCTAATCCCATACTGTTCTTAACAACTTCAAAATCTTTCCTGACCTAAGCTGGACTTTTATTTTAGGGACCTGACTATGAGAACATTCCCATCTGTTTTTCTCTGTTTTAAAACTCTCTGCTGTTGGAGTACATTTAGCTATGGCTCCTCTCAAACCCCCACTGCCCATTGTGGACAGGTAGATCAGTAGAGAATTCAGGAGCCTGAGTTTAAAAAAGAGGCCCATGGTGATTTAAGATCTGAAACAGAAGGTGACTAGAATAGTTGGGACTGGTCAAGTTGACACAAGCTAGGAACCAAGTTCTGCTTGGGTGGCCAACTCTGTTTCAAGGACCCTTGGTGAACTCTTAAAATTCTAGAGACTTGAGAAACAGTCATCCTAAAGCAGCCTTTCTAACCTCACAAAAGCCATTTCAGCTTCTTTAGTATAATGAATTAGTTTCAGTCTCCAATCCTATACTTTGAGATATAGGCCTGGTCAGTCTGTTACCCTTGCCCCTTCTGTGCCTTGTTGTGTTTCTAGAAGTGCATGCGGGAGCTGATTCCCTTTCTTTGGAACAATGTAAAGAACCATTCTGCTTCGCTGCACATGTGGCCTTCCTAGCCAGGCTTTTATTGTACACTGAATAGAGCTGGGCCTTTCAAAATGTAGTTACAGTTAGAAGAGAGTCTAGCCACAGGGCCTCCTGTAAAAGGAGGAAACACTCTCCAATTGGGAGACTTGAGAAGGCCCTGCTAGCTTGTTGGGCTGAGCCCTTACCATGTCCCCTGAGCCCAGGATGGGCAGAAGTAGCAGCTGCAGCAGGAGAGGGGTCAAGTTCTATACTTCAAGCAAGTCTGCCAGTTGTACAGGAATGTGTAAGGGAGGCTGGGGTAACTTGTGTTACGATATCTCAGAAGACAGAGCTGGTTCTTCCCTGGGTGGGACTGCTGTGGTATTAGAAGTTGAATTTGGGGCTACACTCTCAGATCACCCCGTGATCCTACAGGAATGTGCTGGTCTGATCTAGGAAGATTTGAGTTTCCTCTTTGAAGTCAGTTTAAAAGAAAAAAAATTTTTTAAGGCTGGTTTGAGTTTAACAAGTGGCCAAAGCCCCTCTCTTTACCCTCACATAAACAAAGAATACATTGTTCATGTACCCAGTATGCTCTAAATAAGACACCAGATCAGATGCAGCAACTCAGTCTTGCATAAGCCTTGGTTAAAATGTAGTTTTTTGAAACAACTAGGCCAGTAGCCAGAGCGGAATTCTTTAAATGGGACAGATGCCGAGAGAATGGCTGGTCTCCTTTAGCACCCTTCCAGAAAAAAAGCAAGTCTGGGATTACCGCTTCCAGTGGCCTACTTTTAAATAGACACTTCTCTGGAAGATGACTTTATTTATAAATATTTTAAAACATAAAATCCAAAAAATATAACTCAATGAAGTAAAAATTACAATGCATGATGGTGGCCCAGTGGTTGGCTGTTGGGATACACTTCTTGCCCAGTATTCTAATGGTTGACTGACCTATTGCAATGGCTTTATGACAGACACCTTTTACATTCATGATGGTTCTCAAGAAATTAAAAATATACTTTAACATGATGGAAGTTACTGTGTTAAATAGGTTTTTTCAAACTTGAGAGGTTTTGTATAAAAATATGAATACTTCAGGAAATGCTTCAAGCACTTTAATAGTCTTGGGAGGTAAGGGTACTATTAAAATACCCCTTTTGGATTTTATGATGGATGATACAAAGTAGTAAGAGTCCTCTTTGTCCTTGTTTTCCTCTAAATAGGGTATGTACTTGTGGAGTGTTGGGTCTTTTCTCTCTGCCCTCAGAGGAAGATGAAGCCCAATGGTGATGTGCATGTTTCTGGCTGGACTGTTTTAGGGGCTATGGGTGGCAGTTTCCAGCCCATTCTCATAAGAGCAATGGTGGCAGGCTGGCCTGTGCCTGCAATCAGATGTGAGGTCAGAGGATTGAAGGGTTGAGCAGAGATTGGAATGGGAGCTTATACCTAGCGTGAGCCCCTCTCTCTCAGTTGTGGCAGGACCTATCTAAGGGGAGATGGCAAGAGTAATCCCTGGCTTCTGTAGGTTCAAAGTCCTGACAACATGTTTACCATAATAGAGAATAAGCGCCAAGTTTTGTGGCTGTAGGGGAAAGAAAAATGTCATACATACTGTTACTGAAATAGCTTATTCCTCAGGGTCAAGCTTTAAAAAAGAAACCCAGTAAAAATTATCTTTATTCTCAAGTCAGAAAAGTTTTTCTATGATACGCATTACCAATACAAAAATAGTTTGAATACTACGATGGTCATTTTTTCCTCAAGATTTCTTGCAATGCTACACTAGAATATAGATCTTTGGATTCTGAGAAGCCAGTGGGTAAAGTAAGAACTAAAGGCTTTTGTTGAGGGGGAGTGTGTGGGTACAGGAAAAGCCCTTTTTCTTTGGATTCAGGCTATGTACAGTGAAGAGGAGGCAAAAAAAATACAACTTAAATTAAATTAAAAAAATTTTTTTAAGGCTCAATTGAAGCTTGGCTCAGAAGTGGGTTAAAGTAGGCTGTGGTGAAAACCCACTGTCCACCACGAGAGGTTTTCTGGGTGCCTTGCTTTGGTTGTGATGGTCCTCCTTCCTGCAGCCCCATAGGGAAACTGAAGCTGGCCTAGTTTCATGCTGGAAGATAGGCACTGGCTGTCTTGAGGTTTGGTTTGCCCTGTCTTAGAACTGAGAGCTGCCTAGACTGACATGGATAAGCTGGAACTGGAGCTGTGAAAAAGGCTCTCAAAAGGGGGAGGGATGCACACTGGATTTTGAGCCATGACTTACTTGAACCTTTGATTGCAGCCAGTAATGACTGAGGCCTTTTGGTATCAGGGAGTCTTAAGTGATCGAGTTTCTCAGGAAACATTTCCAAGTAATTTGAACTAGATCTGCATACCCCCACTACCCACACTTGCCTGATAAGGTAGTGTCAGGTTATTCTTGTTGCCTAGGGTGACAGGCCTAAAGCTAACCAATTCCATTTGCTTCTCTTCTTGCAAGCTCCTGAGAATGTGGCAAGAGGTTTCCTCTGGTCCATCATAGAGATAGCAGCTGGTTTTCTGTAAATGGCTTCTGTTGTCTTGAGCTTTGTGGTTGTGACCATGCTCACATGTTGTTTGATAAACCAGCTCATTCTTGGTCCATGAAATATCTGGTATGGGGAGGGCTTGGCAGTGGTGGGGTTGGGGGGGGGCAGGGTGGGGAAAGCAGTTGGGCTCAGTCCAGCCCACCTATGACCTATAGCAGAAAAGCAAGGGAAGCAGGGGCATCTGGCTAGCAAGACAGATGTGAGAAGAATAGATGCAGGCCGCCATAGGCATATCAGATGGCACAACACAGATCTGATTCCCACCATTTGGAGCAGTTTGAATAGATGGCCCCAGTTTCAGGCAGAAGTTGTGCAGCCTCTGAAATCTCCAGGGCCTGGACCCTGAGAGGGAACTAACAGGGCCCCTGGCCGGTTTCCACGGGCTTTGGGGCTCTGCCGTCTCCTCTCAGAGGGTGGACCCCTGGAGGAGGCTGTGTGTCCTGTGCATGCTAGGCTGCCTGTCTCTGAGGCTCCTGTTGCTGTACCTCTGTGCTCTGTAGGTCGCTGTGAGGGGCCTGAGGGGGCCCAAGGGGCTGGGAGGCTGAGAGCAGCCGAGAGACCTGGTGATGTAGGCGCTGGCTCCGCAGGGCTAGCAAGCAGTTCTGTGGGAAAGTGGGGCAGCAGGAGGTATGAGGGCGAGTCCTGGGGGGCTGGGGACCCGGGGCAGTCTAGAGCACTGTCATCGGAAGGAACGGGGCTGGGGCAGCGGCCTTCTCCGGGTAAGTACCGAATGCATTTCTTTTTCCTCCTAGGAATAGTGAAGAGAGTTATCTGTAAACAGAGGGTGAATTCATAGTCATACACCACAACCAAAAAATGCTGTCCTTGCACAGGCCTAACTGACCTCTTGGCCCCTCTCCCCATGACTTGGGTGACATGCCTGTGCCTTCACTTAGCACTGCACCTCTTCTGAGCCTGTCCAGATGTGGAGCAGGTGCAGTTCCCAGCACAGCCACATGGTGGCACAGGGACCTTTTGTAGTTTAGCCTGTGGTCGGCCTGTTGTTTTTTGGTGAGCCATCTCCTAGTCTAGGCCATTGAGGCTCTGCTTCACGTATCTGTGGGGCTCAGATCTGATTAAGGGAAGGGGCTGCAATACTTGAGGCTTCTTGGGCTGAGCAATCCTAGTGCTCAAAGCTAAGCTCAGAACAGAGAAAAGGAAGAAATGGACAGTGACTCATCTCATCCATTTCTACCATCTTATAGAGTTCTCTGCGCCATAATTTGTCTCTGAAATTGGAATGGATGAGGACAGGGTCACCTCCCATCATATATACATACACATACATACTTATTCCCCCAGTTCCTCTTTGTCCTTGGACAGGGAGCATGGTGGGCACTCTGAGAGACTGGCCCAGTATTCCCTGGAGTCAGTGAACTTACTGCCTGGAGTAGCCTCAGCCTTGGCCCTACCTGGCATGGCCTGATCCTAAACTAGGCAACGTTAGCCAGTTGGTAGGTATACCTTCTTTTTACATACACAAGTATTTCTTTATTATACGGTGAAACACACAGGTTTAGTGCCTCAAGGCCTGAGTAGGGGTACCCCTGCTTGTCCCTCCCTACCTCTCAAACCCTCTGGACTCAGTAGGGACCTGACAATACATCACATGGCCACGTGGCATCTAGGTTATTCAGGTTGTTCTCTACTGTCATTTTGTTCTTAGGTTTAAGGGCTCAGGATAGTATAGCTAATATCCCAGTTTGGAGAAGTGAGGAAGCTGGTGGCCCATGATGACTTTGAGGCCTGGGAGCAGGGACTCAGGCCACCTAAATGGTGTGTGTGAGATACGTCTGCTGCCGATCTGCTAGCACCAGACCATCATTACTTAGAGGACCCCAAGCACCAGAACTATCTTCTAAGTCTGCTTTTCCTTACCTTCTAGAACATTGCCTCTCCCCCTCCTCCCACCTAGACCCAAGTGATATCCCCACAAGCTGTGTTCCGTGTTTGTTCTCATTCTTAGGATGTATGGGCCCCCCAGTCTGTGGGTATGCTGGGGGCAAAAGAGGGCTGCAGGCCCAGCAGAATGTGTGCAGAGTCAGGGAAGCAGCTTGAAGCAAAGGGAGGATGGTGGTGGGGACAAACCCACCTGCATGGACCACACCAATCCGTCTGCTGGTTGAGGCCAAAGCGAGCACGGCATTTCTTAGGCGAGCCAGGGTCTGCTCACAGCCATGCCAGAGGGGCAGAGCAGGGCAGAGGGCGAGCAGGCAGGCAGCAGGGCAGAGCAGGGCCCAGAAAGAAGAGGTAACATAAGTGTTAGCCAGTCACAGATGCCCCATAGCCCCCACAGGCAGAGGGCCTCTCCATGGTACAGCCAGCCCCAGTGGGAGCCCTAGGGCCCAGAACTGAGAGATATCAGGAAAGGTTGGCACCCAGCTGGCAGTATAGAGGCAGTGGGAAGAATGGTGGGGGTGGGGAGGAAAGGGACCCTATTGGCTGGCTCCTCTCCATGGCTTGTGGGGCCCCTTGCAGCAAGGGAGCTGAAGGGAGAAGGGCCTACAGGGGCCTGTGGAGACTCAGCCTCTTCTGTCTTAGGGCTACCTGCCCCCTCCCCATTTTGTCTGGATTTTCTTCATCTTTGCCAATGCCCAATGTGCCTGACCCATATCCCTGCAAGCTGTAGCTTAAGCTAATGCTACACACTCTTCCAGAAGTAAAGTCCATTTTTCAGCCTTCGAATAAAGGCTGAGGTCTCTGCTATGCCCCAGTCTTAGCCTCTAGCTTCCTTGTGTCGGGGCAGCACAGCTGAGAAAGTTATTCATGGATGTGGAGTTTGAATAATCAGAGTTGGGGCAGGAATTCACCCACAGAAGACTGCAGCAGGGTGTGGCCTCCTTGGGTCCTCTACCACAGAGCACTGTGCATCATCATGAGAAACTGGGGGTGGGGTGATAGAGAAATTGCCAGTCACACAGCAGGCTGTTTGACTACTAGACTCAGGCATGGGGCCTGGCTCAGCCTTTGCCCAGACAGCCTGCTGCCCACCTCCGCAGAACTAACTAGGAGGCAGTGTTTGGGTTTAGTCATGAGTCAACCGGTCAGTTCCTCACTACTTTCTCTGGCAGAGGCTACCTGTGAGCGGGACTAACAGAAGCTGGGTTGGGGGGAAGTGGTGGAAACCACTGCTTTAAGAATTGGCTTCTGTGTCTTCCTGGGACTTAGTGTAGCTGCTCCTCTGGTGAGGGTTTAACTTGTGAGATGCAGGCCTTGTTTCCAGAGGGCCCAGGCTCCAGGCCTTCAAGGTTCGTGGCTGAGAACTCTGCCTCACCCTCTGGGCAAAGCAGGGCTGGGGCTGCTCATGAAATGAGGATCTGGAGAGGAGCCTCCACTACTGCTGAGAGAAGGCCTCACCTGTGTTGGATTCTTGGTGCTTCTCCCTCGACCTCCTCTTCTTCTTCCCCTGCAGAGAACAAAGCAGGGGATGCTCAGGTCTGGGAGGCGGACACTGTAACCCCAGTGAGCGGGTGGTTGGTACACCTGCAGCCTTCTGCCTAGCCTGGCTGCCACTGGGATTCCAGGCACACAGTCTACTCTGAGCTGGGGACCCTGGTGTTTCTTGACTGCAATTTTTGCTGGGTTACCCTGGGGCAGTTAGGGGCTCCTCCTCCCTCTCTCACACTGGTCTCCCTTTTGAATGGAGAAGGTGACTTCCAGGCCCCTTCCTCCCCTCCTGTTGTTCTCCAGTCAAATACTGGACCCTGTGTGGAAGTGCACCCTGGGGGAAAATAGGACATGAGCCAGCCTTTAGGGGCAGCTCCCCTTGTTTGGTCCTCTTCTGACCCCCTATTCCACCATTTCCCCTCCTCATCTGTGCCTTCAGGACAGTAGTCCTGCCTTCCCTGGTGAGACTGTGGCCTGGAGTATGACATTTTGAAGGTTCCCCTACTGTATGTTGTTGGCCACTCACATAGTTGTCCCGCGCCGACCAGCCTGGGTATAGCTGCATGTGCAGCTGCCTCTCCTTGCGGGCCAGCTCATAATATTTGGCCTGCTCTTCTCGCGACAGCGCGTGCCACTGCAGGGGAGGGGACACATGGGGGTGCATCAGGGAGTCAGCAGGCTGCACCAGGGTGAAGGTAGTCTGGGGCCACCCGTACCAGCCCACCTGCCCCTCATCCTCACCCTGCGGCCCAAGATTTGGTTGATGGCAGCGCTCTCCTTGAGCGTGCATTCTGCAATGACCTTGGCTCTCATCTCCTTCATGTACAGCATGAAGGCATTGAGTGGCTTCTTGATGGTTGGCTTCTTGGCCTCCTTCTCTGCCTTGGATTCTGCCTGCGTCTTCCTGAGAGGCACATAAACAGATCACTCAGGAGCCACCATGGTGTCCACCTAATGCCACCACTCTCTTCTAGTGTGTCCAGAATGTATGTAAATGCATGGATACTAGGGTTTTTTTAATGGAGTCTTTTTTTTTTTTAGCTGCCTCAAAATAGACGAGCAGAGTTAAGTTACTGTTCCTTATAGGAATACTGCTGCTAAGTAAGGAAAGTATGTGCAGGACTTCCAGCCCCTTCCCTATTGGCTCAAACTAAATACTCGTTCTCCATCCCGCCCCTCCCTGCTGCTTCTGAGGATCAAAAAACAGTGGTTGGTCAGTGGCAAATGCCACAAGACAGCTTGACCAGAGGCCTCCTTTGGCAGTCTCTGGAGCTTCCAGGCAGCAGGTCTTGGGCCTGGTGGGAGGAATGTGTACCCTGAGGTCTGCTTACCCTCACCCCTTCCCCTCCCTCCTGTCTTTTCACTCACAGGCTGCGGTCATAGGGCTGCAGCTCCTGCTTCCCTGAAGGGGGCACAATGGCTGGGTGGGGAATGGCTGCGGGGTGACCAGGTACACCAGAGCCTAACATCAGGGATGGGTGGGTGAACCTAGAGGCAGAAGGAGAGTTAACACTGAGCCAGGAACGTATGAGCCAGACCTTTGAACACAGAGAGGCCCCTGCACAGACATGAGGACAGGTGAATAGATGCCCCACCTCCACTGGCCTGCAAACAGTTACACAGAAATATACAAATACCTGCTCCCAACACACTGCACAGACACATCGACAAAATCTACATATATGTCAAACTCAGGTGTTTACTAAAGTCCTAAATAGCTTTTGAATCTGCCCCCTTCTTACCTCCTTCCCTCACCAGCTCAGCCTCAGCCTGTGGCTGCCCTGTGGGCTTCATTGCTTTCCTGCTTGACCTCCCAGTCCTCTCTCCATGTAACAGCCAGAGTGACCTTTTAAAAACACCTGAGTGCTCCTGGCCACTTGTGTTAAAATTCCCCCACTGCCCATAGGATAAAACTCAGGCTTCTCCCTAGGCCTTGCACAGTCCTGCATGACTACCCTGCTGACGTTTCTAGCTGCATCCCCCACACTCTCCCCTTCCTGTTTCCCATCACTTCCCACCCCCAGCCATCTCCTGCTATTACTGTTACTGCTGTTCCCTTTGTCCCCCTCATGAGCTTCCTTTTCATGAAGCTCTCCCTGACCCATCAGACCTGGCTGGAGTCTCCTTGGGGCTTCCCCATCGCCCAGGTATCCCTTCAGCTGCTGCTGTTTGTCTATACTCCCACCCTGGGGCTGCGAGCTCCAGTAGGGCTAGAAATGTCTGCTGAACTCCTTGTTTCCTACCTGGCATGGCTCTGTCAGTGAGGGAATGAGCTAAGTGAAAGGACACACGTATACACATACCCCCAACTTTCTGGCTGTTTGATGGACACCAGTCTGTCCCTTGCTGCTTGTGCAGGTATGGAGTCTCTGAGCATGTAGCCCCTACGGGCTGGGGGTTGGAGACACATGTAAAAGGTGCTGCCTTGGGCAGACGTCAGGGGATGCCCAAGAGAGTTGTCCTGCCCCGCCTACCCTTCTCTCATCAGGGATACACAACAAAGGTGAGTGCACTGTCTCTCCCTGCTCTGCAGTGCTCTGCACAGTATGGCCTGGGCTTAGGCCTCTTGTACTCCCACTGGCTTCATTCTCAGGTACAGGGCAGCATGGGGCTGCAGAATGACAGACGGACAGATGGACAGACGACTAACACAGGGCAAGCACTGGCCTGGGCATGGCCTCTTGTGGGCACTGAAGCCTGGGCAACAGGAAGCAGGAGCCTAGCTTCAGGGTAGGGGACTCACCTGGGGTAGGGGGCGCCAGGGGCTGCGGTGGGGGCAGGGAAGTGCTGTCTATATCCGCAGGAAGGGGACAGGGGGTAGAGAGGAGGACTGGGCCTGTGGTTGGGAGAGATAGCTGTTAGCAATCTGGCTACTGGCCAAAGGTGGGGAAGGACTTCCCACCTTGCTTGGGCCTGACCCCTAGTGTAATAAGGCAAATTGGCTTCTACTTAGACCTCTCCCATGTATGTTTTTAACACCTGCCACCAGAGGGCAACCTGTGCTATTCCTCTTTCCCTCTACAGGCTTACCTTCCCTCTACTGGTGCTTAAGGGATAGAAATGGTATCATTCTTCTGGAACCCAGCTTAGTAGGCCCCTGAACTCCCCTTCAGCCTCGCCTCCTGAAATTTCCCTGCCAATACAGGGTTGATGCCTGCCCTACAGGCTTTGTACCCACTGTTGACACTGTCGGGATTGTTCTTCTGCCCTACTTTGTCTGCTTCAACTCCTGGTCATCCATCATGGTCTTGCTTGGCCCAAAACATCCTTTCTCTTGAAAGCCTTTGAGAGTCCAAGATGGATGAGGCATCCCTCTGGGCTCCTGCAGTTCCCAAGGAACTGCTAACAGTGCCCAGTCATTGTCCGGCCACTTGCCCGAGTTGTATGCTAGGTGGACTGAGTTCTGAGAGGGCAGGGACCTGAGAATGAACCAGCTTCAGCAGTGCTGCTTTGGTACCCAGAACCTGCCGTGTGCACTTCAATCCTGGGAGGTACTAGTAGGGGTAGTCCTGATTTATTTTCAAGGTGGAACTTTATCCAGAGAGAATTTGGACATGGAAGAGTAAGCTGAACTTGGATAAAGGGCAAGGGGAAAGGAGCAGGGGCACCCATGGTTGGACTTCTGGCCTGCCCCGCCTTCCTGGGAAGCCAAGCTTTCCAGCCATTGGGTGATTGCCCCAGCCTAGAGAGGCTAGAGGCCTGCCCGGGGTCACACTGTGGTTGATGAAGAAAGGGCCATGTAGCCTGCTGAGGCCCAACTCCAGCTGAAGACGTGCCCTCTGGCCCATGTTTCGGCCTAGCAAATGGGATCCAGGCTGGCTCTTCCTGGCCCAGCTTTAGTAGACGCTCAAGCAGGCTGGCGAGGGGCCTGAACTCAAGCAGGTACCACGGGCAGGGAGGAACCTGCCCTTCAAGCAGCTCAGCCAAGGAAGGGACCAGCCAGCAGTAGACATTGAGGCAAGTGGGAAATAGCCCCCCTGTCCACCAGGCCACCAAAAAGCAACAGCCTCTCTTGTGATCATTCATGCTGTCACTTCCCTTTTCAGGCCTACCTTTTCTTCCTCACATACTCAACATGGCCCTGAACAGCCCATGGTTCCCCTATTCAAGTCTCGTAGACATTAAGGTAGGATTCAAGTGCGACTGGGGCTGGGACCAAGAGCTAGGTGTCCTGCCTTCCCAAAAGGAGTCTGGCTGGCTGGCTGATGAGCAGATAGAGCTGCTGGCCAGCCTCTGGTACCTACACAGAGCTGGCAGCTAGGTGCTCGGCACAGAAGGGTGCAGGAGGAAAACGGAAGGGCAGGTATGAGTCCAAACAGCACAAGGTACCCCTTTCCCATTGGGCCCTCACTCACCAGCTCACAGTGTGGGGGAGCTGTCCCATGCTGCCTGAGGTCAGAGAGTAGAAGCCAGAGAGGTCAGAGGTCTGCAGAGGCCTGTGAACTCCTGCAGTGGAGAGGAGCCAAGTAAGTGAGCCAGCCAGACCTGGAGGCCACTTAAGCTAGTTAATGCATCCTAAAGCCTCCTGTGGAGCCCTCCTAAGATCCCACCTCCCTGTGCTAGAGGACCAGACATGCTGGTTTGTTTAGGGCTATCCCAGTGTGATAATTTACAGCACCCCATTTACAGGCTAGGGGAAATAAGGGCAGAGGGTTTGGGTGACTTGCCTAAGGACACTGGCTGGCCAGTGGCAGAGCTGGAGTCATCTAGGCCAGACCTCACCACACCCTGGTCCAGGACTGGTCTGCTATTGGCCATCTCTGCTAGCTTTCTGGGCAGGAGGCAGACCCCCTGGCCTGGGGATCCAGGGCTCCACACACCCACCTTGCCCCTTCCTCCCCAGGGTTGAGTCAGCAGATTTCCCACAGCCGACAATGGCTGATTTCAGAATGACTTTGCCTGAGGCTGAGGTGAATCAGCCGTCACAACCACCACTTTCCATTTTCTCACTGTGGGGAGGGAAAGGCTTTAAGTTTTGTATTTATCAACTTTACACAAAGAAAGGCTTCAAGTTTTATATTTATTAACTTTACACAAAGGCCTGCTCCCATACAGGCACTGGATAGTCACTCAGGCTTTAGATTCCTATCTCAACCTGAAGCCTTCAAATTTTGACCTAGCACTCTCTCCCCCAGCTCTTTGGTATCCTCAGGCCCCTCATTCTTCTTGGCATTTTGGGAGGCCCTGAGTTTGTGCAGCCCCCGGTTCTCCATTTATACAAAGGGTCCAGCCACCTGGTCTCTTGACTGCCCCCCGCCCCAACTCCCTGGCTCTGGGTCCCATTGAGTCCCTCCCCATCCTAGATCCGTACCTTGCTTCTGGCTGATGTCGGCTGGTGCTGGTGTAGGGTGTGGGCTGCTGAAATGTTCATAGAGAGGAGAGAGTTGGGGAACGCCGTGGGAAGGCTGATTGGCCTTGTTGTGCTGAAAAACGAGGAGGGTGGGTGAATGGGGGCGACCTGAGGAAGACACAGGGCTGGGGTGCACATATAGGAAGAGCCCCAATTAGCTGTGTGCAGGAAGCCCAACTGTCAAAGGAAAGTGGAGTGGTCAAAACCACATGCCTCACAGGACAGGGCCCCACTCAAGCCACCCTGTGTTCAGTGGCCCTGCCCTCCTGGCAGTCTCCGCCTGCCTTCAACTTTGCCCAAGCAGTTCAACTTCCTAGAGAGCCTCTTGGTCTTTCTGTGCCCCCAATTCTAGGAGGCACATCCCCTCTGTACAGGAAATTCTTCATGCCTCCTGCTTTCAGAGATCTCCCAGTTTCTCTGAGGCCCTCTGGCTTTTCTAGTGGGCTACTCACAAGCCTCCAGCCCCAGGACAGTCTGGAGCTTGCTTTCTTCCTCCTTCAGCTCCCAGACTTGGGGTCTTAAGTCTGACCCTCTGGAATCACCTCAGGCTTAAGAGGATTTGTTGACATAGGGAAGGGACCACCCTCCTCGGTCCTCTAACTCAGGGGAGGTGGGGCCAGGTGCAGCCAGTCCCCCCAGCCTCCACACTTCCTGTTTCCTAAGCACCACAGGACTCTTACTTTTCACACTAGTCACATGGATTTGTCATGAGATGACTCACTCAGGCTGGGAAGGGGGCTCCCCACGAGACTCAGCCACAGGGAGTCTGCTGCTCTGGGCTGCGGCCCGGCTCTGCCTATCCTCAGTGCACACCTGTGCAAGCCAGGGCCCTGGAGACATCACCTACAACTGAAGCTCAGCTCCACTTAGAAAAGACCACCTGTAGGGATGCTGCTGTTAGGAGCACAGATGAGTGAATTCTGACCCCGCGGCACAGAAGAAAAGGGACATCTGTGGGGCAAGACAGTAATGAGGTTGTGGTCTGGGCGCCTTCCCACCCTGCAGGTGAAATTTCTCACTGGTAAATTTAGCCAGACTCCTTAACATCCCTGGGCCTCAGTTTCCTCTCCTGTGTTCACGGACAGGGTTCATGATCCCTTTATCACCAGGTCTGGGGAAGGTCAGGGTAGCTCTTGGTGAGGAGGCCTGGCACAGGTCCCTTGGTACTGGCTATTGGGGGTCCAGGGTGGGGCTAGAGGGAAGGGTGGCTACGGGCTCCTAGTGGGGTACAGGGCCTCACACCTCCCAACAACAGCCACCACCTTCCCCACATTCCTCCCTCCAGGGGAGTTTGAGGCTGGGCTGCAAGCTGCACCCTTCCCCTCAGGGCTTGGGAGATTGCTGGCGTTGCCACCTGCTCATCCGTCTGCCCACCAGGAGGAGCCTTACATACCAGGGCTAATCAGCCTGCCTTCTGAGGCAGGAGTTAATGTTCTAATAGCAGTGGCTCCTCCTTTGGGGCTGGCATGGATTTGGCACCAGCCACTTCCTGAGCCTGATGCCTCACCTCTGACCGGAGCCCCCAGCTGGCCTCCTGGGGCAGGGCAGAAGGACTTCCCTCTCAGCCCCGAGGAGGGCTCTCCACTGTGAGCTTGAGGAAGTGTCCACCGACCACGCTCAGTTCTTGGCCTTTAAGAACTTATTACAGTATCTGAGCCTCCATTACCTTGTCTTAAGTGGAGATGATCATAGGGTTGTTGTGAGGATAAAGCCAGACAATACCCAGGAACTCCATTACTCTGATGTCAGGTAATGGGAAAGGGACATGCAGGAAGCTCCTCATGTCCCTCATGTCATAAGGAAATGCAACTCATAGGGCTTCCCTAGCCTTCTGGTGCCAGGACTTACACGGGCCAGACGTTTTGGTCTTATGCTGAAAGGAGTTTGTCTGGAGATGGCAGACACACCTGGCAGCCCACTGGGAGCATCACCTGGGGAGAGTGATGACAGTGCCATGCCATCCCTGGGCCTGGGTTGCAGTGACTTTCCTGCTGCTGATCCAAGGCCAGGCTTCCTGAGCGAGCTGGGGGAATCTCGTGGCACTCGCAGGCTTTCTTTTATCCCCAGCACCAAACCAGACACAACGGTAACAGATCAGGAGTATGGGGGAATGGAAGGTGGACATGGGGTCCAGGCCTGCAGGTGGCTGGCAAGAGAGAGAGGAGTAGACTGGCGATGGGTGTGGGGTGTGTGGGGCACGTGAAATCCTTCATGTACGGAGTACCTGCCACATGCCAGGCACTCTGCAAGCCCAATCTTTGTCCCAACAGGGTACCAACAGGTTGCCATTTCTCTCACCTGTAAATCCTCTAGGTGCCACCTCAAGTCTTGCTCCCCATTACTGCAAACCTCAGCAGAGCTGTCCCCATTCACTGCCTCTGTTTCTCAGCTCTCTTTATCCCTTCATCCAAGCCAGTCTCTTGCCCCCTCACTTTACCAGGTGACCCTTGTCAAGGTCCCCAATACTACCATGTTGCTCATATCAGTGGTCAATTCTGAGTCTTCCTTTTACCTGACCTCTCAGCAGCACTGAACACAACTGGTATCTCCTTTCTCCTTGCAACAGAATGTCACACTTCCAGAAAGTCACACTTCCCTGATTTTCCTCCAGCCTCACAGGCCACCCCTTCTCAGCTATGTTTGTGGCTCTTCATCCTCTTCCTGACCTGATCCAAAATGGGCCCTCAATTCTCTATCAATCCTCACCTCCCAGGGTGCTCTCATCCAGGCTTATGGCTTTAAAAGTCTTCATCTGATGACTCCACATCTCTGTCTCCAGCCCCACTTCTCCTAGGAATGCCACTCTCCAAATGCCTACTCAACAACTCAGAGTAGGCATGTCCCAAACACACATCCAAAGTAGAACCTTTGACTTTTGCCCCAGACACTGTATCTTCCTTAGTTGATGGCAATTCCCTCCTTCCAGCTGCTGCGACCAAACTGCTTGGAGTCATCTTTGACGCTCTTTTTCTCACACTATACATCCGATTTGTCAGCAAATCCTAATGGCTCTGCTTTCAAAATATATCAGAGTCCAACCACCATTTCTTTTTTGTTTTTGTTTTGGGGGGGGTAATTAGGTTTATTAATTTTTTTAATGGAGGTACTGGGGATTGAACCCAGGACTTCATGCATGCTAGGCAGGCACTCCACCACTGAGCTATACCCTCCCCCACAACCACTTCTTCTTTTCACCCTATCCCCACCTAGTCCAAGCCACAGTCATTTCTCACCTGGTGACCGCAGCAGCCTCCTGCTCTCTCAAGCCTCCATCCAGCAGTCATAGAAATCAGATCACATTGCTGCTCAGCCTAGAGCCTCTGACAGCCTGACCCAGGCCCACAAAACTGTGTGACCACGCCCCTAACTACCTCTCTAACCCCATTACCTTCCTCTTTCCTCGCTCACTATGCCAGAACTTGCCAAGGGTGCTTCAGCTTCTAGCCTCCTCTGGTTACTCCAGTGACAATTTCCACACCAGGCCGTGATGGGAAGTGGGCTGGAAGTGCAGCTCTAGGCTTGTGGACTTTTTCACCATAGGATCCTGGGCCAGTCTGGCCCTTGTAAAATGAGCATGAGAATATCAACCCTGCCTACCTCACTGGTCACAGATGCAAAAATCCTGCTTTATCCTAGAATTTTTAGGAGCAGGAGCCAGGGGCCTCTGAAGGTGGAAAGCTTCCTGGAAACCTCAGGGGCCTCTTTACCTTGATAGGTTCCCAAGACAGTGGTAGCCAGATCCTAAGCCTCATGGCACACAGGGAGCCTGAACCTCAGGGCCTACTCCCTTAGGAACCTGGGACCCTGGTGGGAGGCACTCCACCATTTCCTGTCTAAGGGCATGAATGCCTGGATCCCTAGCCCAGTAGGAATGAACACCCTCCACAGGTCCTTCCGCACTAGGCACTTTCAAGTCTAAACTTCTGCTTCAGAGAAGGCCCTGCCATCCACCCTTGGCTCTGGCTTGTTGGCCCCCCTGACTGTAAGCCTAGGCAGTGAAGTGGGCAGCTCTGACCCTTGGGAGCAGGGCCTGGGGTCCAAGGTGCCAGCTCCAGGAAGTCAGGTCCAAAGTCCCACTCTGCCCAGGCTGTGGGGAGTGTGGGGTGTCTGCTCCAAGTCAGGGAGAGGGTGATTCCACAGCATGTTTCTCAGCCAACCACCCTCCCTGGGGAGGGCTAGCTTTGGCCAGGAATCCCTGGAGAGCCCTCTGGCCCAAGGGACGGCTGGAGCTGAGCCTCCTTGACCAGGCTGGTGAAGCCTCATGTTGTAGCACAGCTCAGTCTAGGCCTAGGAATCCAGCTCTGCCTACAGCCTCTGGCCTGGTATGTGTGTGTGTGACGGGCAGGGGGATGGCAGGTGGGGTGGGGGTGGTTTGCCTGGTGGACGGAGGGCTCACCCTGGCAACCAGCATTCCCTAGGAACTGGGGAAAAGCCTCATTAAACAGGAGTATGCAGCCAAACCACAGGAGAGGTGCCAGGTGGGCAGAACTGGGGCTGAGAGCCTGCCGGCAGCTGGAAGCCCTGAGGTGCCAGACTCCAGAGCAGGGCACTGATGGCCCAGCCAGTCCTTCCCACGTTCATGCAGGCTGCTTCTCCGCCTCACTCCACAGACCCCCTCCGTGCCTGGTGGTGATAGCCAGGGGGAACTGTCTGCAGGGCCCCACGGCCCCCTCAGCCACTGGAACGTCCCGCTCCATGGCCCCAGCACAAGGCTGTCCCAGGGCTAGGCTGCCGAGACAACAGGGAGGAGTTGCCTGGGGCCTGGCCTGTGTATGGGGAGCCCCTCCTCTCCTCCTCCAATGGTGACTGTGCCCAACCTCCAAGGGATGGAGGCAGGCCTGGATTGATTGTCCCCACCGGTCCCTGAGCATCTCGATGGCACAACTTCATCTCCCTTACCTCTGAGGGCAGAGTGCCAAGCACAGAGCTGGGCACTCAATAAGTGCTCACAGCATGGTAGGATGTGTAAACGAACGGAAGACTCAACAGCAGTCCATACTCCTTGCACAGGACACTCCAGGACCCCCATTCTTGGCGTTTGTGTACAGTCCCTTTCCCCTGTACCCCTCCGGA